ATGGAATACTACGTGGCAATGAGAAAAAATGAAATATGGCCTTTTGTAGCAACGTGGATGGAACTGGAGAGTGTGATGCTAAGTGAAATAAGCCATACAGAGAAAGACAGATACCATATGGTTTCACTCTTATGTGGATCCTGAGAAACTTAACAGGAACCCATGGGAGAGGGGAAGGAAAAAAAAAAAAAAAAAGAAGTTAGAGTGGGAGAGAGCCAAAGCATAAGAGACTGTTGAGAACTGAGAACAAACTAAGGGTTGATGGGGGGTGGGAGGGAGGAGAGGGTGGGTGATGGGTATTGAGGAGGGCACCTTTTGGGATGAGCACTGGGTGTTGTATGGAAACCAATTTGACAATAAATTTCATATAAAAAAAAAAAAGACTGGTACTATATTGAGCAGTGAATGAGACTATGAATTAGCTTCTCTGCCCTGGCAAGTCAGCAAGAAGGGTCCCAGGGACTGCACAAATTTTTCTGGGGGACCTGAAACAGGCAAAACTATGCACTGAATTTTCTGACCAGATAGAGCCAGTGGTTTTGCTCTGCAAATGGAAAGAGACACAGGTTTTCTCTGTGTTTATATGCCACTATATGTATGGCTGTTGGATGGGCAGTGCAGCTTGCTGTGTGCTTTGGTTAGGTTCTTTGGTCAGGCAGGTTGAAATATTTTTTTCAGCAATAAGTGGGGCTACCCATTAGTTTCCCTGCCCAATGGCAGTAAAATAACTTGCTTTAAGGCTGATAAAGTTTTTGTGCGTATTACTGAATCAAGGCAACCTTTGCCCCAATCTCCTTGGCCAAACAGAGCCATTGACTTTGCTTTGCAGACTATCACCTCTGCTGCCATTCTCTCTGCTCAGTGAAAAAGTTGGTCTACACAATGTTTTAGGTGTTCTGGCCAGGATTTCTGGTCATGTAAGGCTGGGAGCTTCAATTAGCAACAGGCAGGGCTATGACTTAACTCCAATGCCTGGACAGGGCAGAGCAGGCTCTGGAACTTGCAAACCTCCTTATCTGAGAACCTAAATTATACAGAATAGCACCCATCAGGTTACCTAGTCAGACTGTGCTGCTGATTCTACCGGTAAGCAAAACTGCTGGTCAGGAATACTGTTTAGGTGCTATGGGTAGGAATTTGGTCTGCCAAGATCCAAATACTGGTTGTGGCAAATCTTTCCCCTCCTTCTCTGTTATAGTTAGATTTCTAGTGGTCAAGGTCCACAGATCCCCCTGCACTTCTTGTGGGGCAAGACCAGAGTGGGTACTTCCAATAAAGTGACCCACAATTCTGGGGGTCTGGAAGTGTACCCTGGGCTCTGTTTTCCCACTAGGAGAATAGCATGCTCAGTGGCATGATACTGTGCTAGCCTAGAGGAATGGGCAATGTGGTCAGTGTGTAGTCCCTCCTCTTACTCTTCCTATGTGGTCTCTCTTGGTCTGTGTGGTACAGAGTTGTCAAAATTTTGTGGTGGAAACATTATAATATTAATTATAATGTATAATTAGTATAATTATACATTATAATTATACATATTAAATTATACATATACACACACATACATACATATATATACATACACATACATACACATATATGTATATACTACATATATGTATATGTAAACATATATATATATGTAGTACATATATAATTTTAGAGTTTGACATGTTCAAGGAGCATTCACATTGAGCTATCTCCTGAAAAGGTGAAACAAGAAGCTAGGAGAGGTCAGGACTAGGTATATTGCAGATTTGGGCAGAGATAGATTGTAAGGGGAAAATAACAAAATGTGAAGAGTGCTTAAGGACAAAAGAGGAAAATAAATAGGATTGGGGTGAAAAGATAGGAGTTTAGTAAGGGACCTTGTGATTTTCAGGTTCAAAAGAAGTGTAAGAATGGATTCACTGTAGGGTAAATGTTTTAGCTCAAGAGAGAGGTCAGAACCAAAGATATAAAGTCATTGTTATAGAGGCTATATCATAGAGCTATGTATGGAATGACTCAGAAAAAGACAAGACAGGGAAGGAAAGACTCCAGGAGAGCTCTGCCAAAAAGGAAATTGGAGAGAGGAATGCAGTGTACACTTATAGAAAGTGAGATAATAAAGAGAAAACATTAACTTTCTAGTGAAAGAAGAGAATTTCAAGAAAAAAAAATACATTGACATCAACAGTGTCCACTATCCTGTTAATGTCTAGATAAGTAAGGACTAGATTTTCCATTAAATTGGGTAGTTTAAAGGTCATTAGTATCCTTAGAAGACCATTCCTAATAGATAGATTCAACAATCCTATGACCTGAGATTTACAAGAAAACATTATAAAAAAATAACTAAAAAGGTTAATACTTCTTTACCGAATGTAGACATGCAGGAGAAATTGTTTGCCAAAATGGAAAATGTTGGGGTAATAAAGGGAAAAGTGAAGGCACAGGGGAGGAAAGAGAAAGAGACAGAAAGTCAAAATCACTGACCCCAAGGAAAACAGTGATGGAATTATTTGCACTTTTATTTGCATCTCTATTTATCTTTATTTCCTTTCTTCTTATCTTGAGGAAGAAAAAAAAAATGGCCGTTCCTGAGTTTTTAATGCAAGCTCTCAATTTTCTTTGTTAAGAAGAGACAATGGCATTGGCTGGCAGTGGGGGTGGGGTGGGGGGGAGAGAAGCTTGATGAACAGAAAGATCTAAAATAACTTTATTATTTAAGATATATTATGGTACAATAGTTTAGAACATGATCATCTCAATAAGTGAAGAAAAACATATACTGTCTAAACACTGACACTGCTTGTTTGTGGTGTAACACTATGTAAGTAACTCCCCAAACCCAAGCAGTCTGAAAAATTGGGATAATATTGTTACATGGTGAAAATTAAGAACTCACATTCATTGAGTGCCTCCAGTATTTCAGATTGTAGAGCAATATCTTGAAAGGTATTTCCATTTATATTTCTATATTTTAATTTTCTAACTTAATTGTAAGGATTCACAATGGTATGTACTATACCTGGTATTATTTTTGTATGTTTTTCTCTACTCAGCATGGAGAATGGTACACAGTGAGAGCTTTAAATGTGTTTGAATTCTCTAGAATTTTGAAAACATTTCTTTGGGTCAGTCTTGTGTCTCTTAACCACAATAGGCTTTTTAGAGTGGGAGACAATAGTACAAAGGAATTTTTCTAGAAGAGACCAGTAACTAACAATATATACTATGAATTAACATTTTTAGAGTAATGTAAAAAAAAATCCCTTTGTTGTCTGTTACAGGTCTATTATAAGCTTATGGAGAGTTTGGACTTCTATCACTTCTATAATATTTCAGTGCTTAAAAAGACTTTCATTTTGACTTAATTTTCTACCTACTTTCATAAAGTATGTCTTTATTTGCTCCCAATCTAAGTTCTCTCATTCTTATATTTTGTGTTATATTAGATATTTTGCTAATTTTATGGGTTCTAGTCTTATATATGAATATATTTTTTTCCATTCTTGGCACATGTATTATACAATTACATATCTATGAAGCCTTGGACATCTTAACCATTTTACCTATGTTTTGTGGAATCAACTCTATTCCTTTGGATATTTCTTTCTCTCCTCCAGGTATGGAAATTAATCTTACATTCTATTGCAATTATAAAATTTACCTCAGAATCCACTGACACTTGTAACAATAAATTTCTAAAAATAAGTGAAGTCATGTACAAATGACATATGATACAGTTCTATTGTTTCCTGGGATGATTTCATGTCAAACAAAAGTAGAATAAGCTAAAGCTTTATATTTGTGAGAGAGATACAGCTTTGTTTTTCCTCTAATTAATATACTAAAGCATAGCCTATTGAAGATGTTGTTGATGGAAAAGATCTAAGAAAGCATTTTGCCTAGGGTTTCTTAAAACAATTTTCTATAATATTTTATCAAATAAAACATTCATGGAATCTCAACAAATAAACCAAAGCAATTACACTTTGATATGTTACACGTGGGGGTCATAGCTCTTCTTTCCTTTTTCAGCTCTCTTGTGGATGTGAAGCAACATGGCACCTCCACAGCATAGTGCAGTAGTGAAGAGAATATATCTTCATCTTTGAGAGTATGGATGGACGTAAGTAAGTGAATGATCCTCCCTTTTAAACTGCGACGATCCAAGGTTTTGTTGTATTTGGAGCCTAATATATTCCTAACTTACAAGTAACAAATTCTACTTGAGGATGTTCTTGAGTTATCAATGCGTCCAGTTCTAGTGAGTTCTCTATAAGAAAAGAAAAAAACAGTGTACAGGCATACTTGAGACATTGCAGGTTTGATTCCAGACTACTGCAATTAAGTGAATATTACAACAAAGCAAGTCAAATTAATTTTTTGCTTTTCCACTGCATGTGAAAGTTATGTTTACACTGTATTTTAGAATACAATTGCATACTTAATAGGCTATCTAAAAAAAACAACATATATACCTTAATTTAAAAATACCTTATTGCTAAAAAAAAATTCCAGGTTGGAACTTTTTTGTTGGTGGAAGGTCTTGCCTCAATGTTGACGGCTGCTGACTGATCAGAGTGGTGGTTGCTGAAGGCTGGTGTGGCTATGGTAAGTTCTTAAAAGAAGACAACAATAAGGTTTACTGCATCAAGTGACTCTCATGAACAATTTCTCTGTAGCATGCAAGGCTATTTGATCGCATTTTACCAATAGAACTTTTTTTTTTCAAATTTAGAGTTAGTGCTCTCAAACCCTGATGTGTTTTATCAACTAATTCTACATATATTCTATATCCTTTGTTGTTTTTCAAGAATCTTCACAGCATCTTCACCAGGAGTAGTTTCCATCTCATAAACCACTTTATCCATCCATTAGAAGCAACTCCTCATCTGTTCAAGTTTTATCATGAGAATGCCATAATTCTGTCCCATCTTTGGGCTTCACTTCTAATTCTAGTTCCCTTGCTATTTTCACCACATCTGCAGTTATGCCCTCCACTGAAATCTTAAAGCCATCACAGTCATCCATCAAGTTTGGAATCAACTTCTACCAAGCTCCTGGTAATGATGATGATTGACCTTTTCCCATAAATTGTGAGTGTTCTTAATGTGATCTAGAATGGTGAATATATTCCAGAATATGTTCAATGGGCTTTGCCCAGGTCACTATCTGTGGCAGCTATAGCCTTATGAAATGTAAAATTTGAATCCTTGATCCATGTGCTACAGAATGGATGTTGTGTTAGCAGCCATGGGGAAAAAACAAAACATTAATCTCATAGTACATCTACATCAGAACTCTTGGGTGGCCAGGTGCATTATCAATGAGCAGTAATATTTTGAAAGAATTTTTTTCCCAAACTGTAGGTCTTAAGATTGGGCTTAAAATAGTCAGTAACCCATGTTGTAAAGAGATGTGCTGTCACCCAGGCTTTTTTGTACCATTTATAGAGCAGAGGAAGAGATTTACTATAACAGCCCTAGGATTTACAGAATGGTAAATGGACATCAGCTTTAGCTTAAAGTCACTAGCTGCCACAGCTCCTAACAGAGTCTACCTGCCTTTAAAAGGAGGCATTGGCTTCTCCTCTCTAGCTAAGACAGACCTAGGTAACACCTTCTTCCAATAGAAGGCTGTTTTGTCTATGTTGAAAATCTGTTGTGTAGTGTACTGCCTTCAATAATTATCTTAGCTACATCTTTTCATGAAGCTTCTACATCAGCACTTGCTGCTTCACCTTATACTTTTATGTTATGGAGATGGCTTCTTTCTTAATGAAGCAACTGCTGCTAGCTTCAAACTCTTCCTCTGCAGTTTCCTCACATCTCCAGCCTTCACAGAATTTAAGTTAGAATCTTGCTCTGTATTAATATTTAGCTAAAGGGGATGTTGTGGCTGGTTTGATCTTCCTTCCAGACCACTGAGACTTTCACCATAAAGTTATTTCACCTACCTATCATTCAACTGTCTTCCTTCAAGAACTTTTTCTGTATATTCACAACTTGGCTAATTCGTGCAAGAGGCCTGGCTTTTGGCATACTTTTCTCACTGATCTTAAAAAGTAAGAGATGTGTGACTGTTCCTTTAGAGGCCATTATAGGATTAGCTAACGGACCTAAATTCAATATTGTGTCTCAGGGAATAGGGACACCTCAGGAAGAGGGCGAAGGATGGCTGCCGGAAAAATGGTGCTGATAGACTTGCTCAACAAAGGGTTGCCACAACCCTTCAGTTCGTGCAGGGGGAAAAAAATCACAGTATCTGTGAAGTGCAATAAAGTGAAGCACAATAAAATGAGGTATGCCTGTATATTGTGTATACTTTATTTATTTTTTTTTAATCAAAACATAGTGTTCTGTGATCCAGAATCCATAATATATGCTGGGGACTTATTGCAGTCAAGAGGACATAGGCTAGGGAGTAATAGGGAGGAAGATATAGGAAGACATTGATACTATTTATTTGCATATTAACTACAATATTTGAGGAACATTTTTACAGTAATTTCTTTAAAAATAAACTTTAAAACACTGGCATAGTAATTATATATATCTGCATCTATCTATCCACACACAGCATTTAGAGTTTTAACTAGTCAATTAGTAACACCAAATCTCACTTGCATCTATATTAAGTACATAATTAAAGTTTCCACACACAAATTTTATTGGTCAGATAAACCAATTACTGATAGATCGATCTATATCTATCCATACATATCCTGTAATGGGAGTCAAGAAAATTTTATCTATTTCTTACGGGTTTATAATATGAAGGCTTGGCCAACATAATTTTTTAAGAAACCTTTTACACATATTCTTCTTTCACTGTGTTTAAGAAATCTGTCATTAATCTATCTTCCCTTAAAAAGTATTCCTAAGAATATTTCTAATTAAGAAAAACTCACTTTCTGAGCCAACTGTATTTCCATTCCCCATTAATTCATGATTGATATGTGACAAGTAAACCACTTTATTTGTTCAAGTGCTAATTTTGATGTGGACGACTCCCCATAGTCTATGCACCTTTGCTAGCAGAGACACCAAAGCGAAAATAATTTAGTAATAATGAAGATTAACTGTAAGTAGTTGCCTCAAAACTGACTGAATGTGGCTAAAGGAAGAAAAATGATTCATTTTTAACTTATTTATCCGGTAGTGACTTCCTGCTCTAAGTAATCATGCATGGGCATATTGTTATGAATATTCAAAAGGTTTTTTAACGGCTTAATAATTTTTCTTCCTTTGTTTCTAGGAACAGAAGTCATAACACACACTGAAATAGAGTATCACACTTGTCAGCAGCAGATAAAGTAATGTATCATTTGATGCTTTCTCTATCCTCCATGGCACCAACAAAGGCAGACCTGCCATCAAAGGAAAGCATCACTCCCATCTGGGTTTTAATGCAGAAATAACACATAGCTGACTTAGTCTGGGTTCCCTTGATTAAAGTTAGAATATCCAAAGTAAAAGTTTCACTCGCCAAGAGTCCTCTCTATCAAAAGCGTGTCACAGATCTATTTGAAATAGATCATGTGTTAGCTCCAGGTTTTCTCAGCAGGATGTTTCAGCTCACTTCCTTCCTGAGTATATAGAAATTGGTATATACTGGAATAAAGAAGAAGAATCAAGTTTTGCTCATTTTTGCTTCACATCTAACAACTTGCTGCTTTTGCTGCGTAAGTTCCTTTTTACCTGGGGAACTTTTACTCTGGGACTCACCCTCTGCCCTTCTTTGCTCACTTTGTGCCCTGGGATACTTGCTTCCTTACCTTCTGGCTTCCAGCTGAGTTTGGTCAACAGGAGGCCCCGTTAGGAAGTGGAAGAGAGATTTATGTCTTCTCCTGTTTCACTGATTTGTCTATAGTGTTTGGTGAATGCACTCCATGTTTATTGGTCCTAGGGAAAGATTTTCTTTCAGAGCTTAACATTTTCTAAAGGCTCGTGTTGTACAGCCTCACTCTTTCCCTCCAACAGGCCTAGAAATGGTAATTGTTTGTTTGCCTCTGTTGCAGTGGTGTGCATCATCATTTTGTTGTGGTTTCATTAGCCCTATCCCAAATTCTGTGAAAGCTACTGTAGGTTTAGAACCCTTTCGATTGAGTCTATCATTAAGAGTCCCAGAAGGAAACAACATACTCACAGCGTTTATCTAAGCAGCCTCAAGAACGCATAAAAGCCTTTTGCGTTTGGCTTATCTTTAAGGTCAAGTATATATTCCTCAGGAAAGCATTATTGTCACTATTCTACTTCTCTTCCATTTTGCATTAGTGGAAGGCAGAAATATAACTTATAAGCAAGTGATTTCTAATCATTTTTTCATGCCTCTAGACATATACCACAAAATATTCACATGTTCAATTCGTTACTAGGCACAAGATAAGGTTGATACCTGCACAAGGTAAGATTTTGCCCTTTTCTGCTTAAGAAAGCCTGTCATAAAACAAGTGTGTGAGAATACAGTTGAGACAGGTGGAACACTGAAACTGTGCAATGTTAATTTTAAAGAAAAGTATTTTCAAACTTTGTTAGTAATAACTCATAATTTTCAAAATGCCACAGTTTATCGTGTGGGTCACCTATGCTTGAGTCATGAACAGCTTTTCCTGAGACGCAGATGGACAGATAATTTTCTTTCAGGAACTTCCATCAGCAGGTGAGTGACAAAGTGTCCTACTTCTTCCACTAATTACAGTAGGCTGGCCCTTTAGGTATGACTCAAATGTGAATGGAATAACACTGCCACAAATGCAAATATGATAGATCATTCAAAACTCTTTGTTGTCACTATTTGCTCTCTAGAATGGAACAAAACTGCAGAAACAAAGCAAACTGTTAGAAAAAAAATGTGAGAGAAGACATGCCTTCTTGGCCAGTTACCACCAGGTTCCTTTCATTAGAACTACATAATGCTCATCAAACATCTACTAAAGATTGCTTCAGAGTGAAATATGCATTATGAATACCCACTCAGAAAAAGACTGACAAGTTTGAGAAACTTAACAGAAGACCATAGGGGAAAGGAAGGGGAAAAAATAGTTTCAAACAGAGAGGGAGGCAAACCATAAGAGACTCTTAAATACAAAGAACAAACTGAGGGTTGATGGGGGGAGCAGCAGAGTGGGGAAAATGGGTGATGGGCATTGAGGACGGTACTTGTTGGGATGAGCACTGAGTGCTGTATAAAGGCAACGAATCATGGGAATCTACTCCCCAGGCCAAGAGCACAGTGTATATACACTGTATGTTAGCTAACTTGACAATAAATTATCTTTTTAAAAAAAACAGTACTCTTAGTTCTCTAAACATGGTTTTTGGTTCTCTGTTAAGAAAGGATCAAATTGATTCTATTAGAATTATCTTTGTTAATGGATAAACTCAAATGTTTTATAAGTTCAGTATTTCAATCTTTTAATGATATTTCTTACTTAAAATCACCACTTCCTGACATATTCACAAGTAGTAGTGTGCTTGCATATTTATATCCTTGGCTTCAGGTAACCATACAGATTTGCACATAGTTTTTTTCACCCACAAATTTAAATTTTGCCATATGTGAGCCATTTTATCACCCATTAGCAAAATCATTCCATACGGTATCTTCAACAACAGGAGACACTACAGAACTGGCTTTTCAAGTTAGTCTCCATTGGGAAAGGGAGTACCTTTATTAAAAAGCTTTCCTAGTTTTGACATTTCTTGCTTCCACTTTAGAGAAATATTAAATATTTTAAAGAAAAAATAGGTTGAATAAAATGTTTGTTTTTGCTGCCATGGTTCCCTCACTATAGCATATAAAACACCTCAAAGAAGTCCCAGCATCGAAAATGCCCTGAAACAATAAATGAAAGATACTAACATTAACCCCATTTTCAGGGAAGGCAGCTAACAGACTTGAAAGGTTTTCGTCTCTGTCTTGGGCACTTACTGTGCTAGTAAGTGACACAGTCGGGACTTGCAAGACTAGGTTCAATTCCCAAGCTCCTTCTAATGGACCAGCAGTGTCCTGGTGAAAATTATACCAGCAAAGGAATGGCAGAAGTGAGAGCATAGGCAAATCCTAAAAAATGATTTAATAGTCAGTGTCATCTTACCTTCAGAATAAAAGGAGCTAAAGTATGACTTTTTTATTAGCTTCAGGTAACTGCTTTGCCAAAGCCAATTAGTAAAATACTGTAGATTTCTTCACCCTGCTCCCGAGATTCCCATTGTGAGTCTGCAATACAACCCAGGAATTTGGATAGTGAGTGATCATACTGGATGATACAATACGAGGGCTCAAGGGCTATACTTTGAAAAATGTTGCCATAGAGAATATAAAGGTATAACTTAAGATTTATTACTGGTCATATAAATTTTAAAAAATGAGTTTTCTCAGTGTCCAAACAGATGGACTCATTTGCTTGCCACTGATACTTATTAAATCTAATTCTAAAAATATTTAATTAAAATTATATGTAGGAAAGATTGAGAAATTTGAGGATTTAATAAGCTGGTTCTTAGAACTAAATAATCTGGCATTACCAGTGAATATAGCCAAACTGATAAGAGATCACCAGTGTCTGGCAGAATTCTCCAGAATGTGGTGAAATAAAAATTAAATATTTCCTCAGGTTAGAGATTAGTTTTGAGTCTAAATGGATACAAGAACCATAGAGTCGTTAAAAAAGATTCCTCGGAACTCTTTTGTACTCATGTGTTGTGGTTGCAAATTTCAATAAGTAATGTTCCTGACCCTAGAGATACCTCTATGAAGAGAGTAAGAATGACCTTTCAGATCTTCTCCCCACCTTCCACTCCCCTAGAACCAGCCCTCTGCTGTCACTAACTGGAAGGGACTCCTAGCAGAAGTGGGAGGAGCCTTTTTCCTGTACTTCACCTTTCACCTACTAGTCTCATAGCATAGAAAAGACCCCTAGTGCCCACTTATTTCACATAGTTTATTTCTTGGTTTTAAGTACAGGTAGTGAAGTGTAGATTACTCAAGCATGTGGGAAATAAAATACGGAACTAAACGACTTATAGAAAGGACAACTCCTTATTAGAGATCTATAGTCTGTGTGTGTGGAGGGGAGGCAACAGGTGTGGTGCACGAACCTGAATTTTAGTATTACAAAATAAAACCCAAGTCCTTTAAAGATAATCAAAGGCTAAGTTTGGTCTGAGCAGTGTTTATGAGCTTTGAAGGGCATTAATGGCAAGATCAGTAAAGCAATACTAGAGACTCCAGAAATGGTAACAGAATGAAGCTTAAAAATCTGTACAGGGGCTCCTGGGTGGCTCAGTCAGTTGAGTGTCTAACTCTTGATTTCAGCTCAGGTCATGATCCCAGCCATGAACTCTGTGCTGAGCATGGACCCTGCTTAGGATTCTTTCTCTTGCTCTCCCCCATTCATGCTCTCTAAGATAAAAATTTAAAAATCTGCACAGTTACTAGGAAACCTTTGTGTTTGGTTTCAAATTGAGCTTCATATTTTTTTCAGATGTTAGTGGAACAGCACATTTATAATTGAGTTTTCTCTTTTTTCTTAAATGTTACCAACCTTCTGTATGATCATCAGATCATCTAAAAATGTTTAATCTGTGCAGTTTTATATTATTCTTTTTTGCATAAAGATACTTTTTAATAAAAGCAAAAAAATGATAAAGGAACAAATGTATTTTAGACAGACCTTGGAGTCTTGGTACTTTTTATTCACTGTCTTATCAAAACCGTGTTAATAACATTTAAGGTTATTTTTCATCAAGAGGATCAAGCAAAGGTTGTCTACTTACCCTCAATAAATAAATTAAAATATAGACATGGATTTTACCTAAACTTGGCCAAAGGAAGTCAAAAGCCCCATAATTCCATCAGCTCCTACTTTCTGATAATGTTACTTAGATGTATGTAAAGAAAGTTGTTTTTTGTTTTTTAAAGCTTTACATTAGTGGTAAGTTTTTCATCATGCACATTTGAATCAATCTATAGCTAATATTTAACTTACTATTCAAAAATAACTCCCCTTCCCATATATGAAACCAGTAATGAAAGGTTTAATAGGACTACTAACTTTTCACCCACATCTCTTTGTTCTCAGGCTGTCTGCCACCATGTCTCTGTAAGATAACATTTATGCCTAGCACCATGATAATAAAATGTTGATTTAGTTGTTTTACAGGGACTTAAGCCTTCACAAAGACAGGACCACCAACCTTCTCTTTGACCATTGTGTGCATCAATGGCTGATGGATGAACTTGTGATGTAGAAGGGCCTAAAAATCCACCCTTCAATATGCCAAGAACTCCATGCTCTTGTCCTGTATGCCATGGCCATGTAAGCAGAAGATTTGCACCGGTACAAAGTGACTTTAACCTTCCTTTACTATTAAGTTTATCTGATTTTAAAGTCATATAGCTCCTTTCCTCTATACACACATCCTTCTTTCTTTTACCTTAAAAGGTCCTTGACTATCCCCTTTCCAGGAGGTGGATTTGCTCTCATTGTTTGCCTGCCTCTCAAACCCTTTCTTTGCTGCATTCTTGTTGTCTCAGTGACTGGCTTTGCTTTGCATCAGGCAAACAAAGTTCCGTTTGATTAAAAATTTGGTGAGCCCGCCAAGACCTCACTGCCCATGGTTCATTTGCCCCAGCCAATAATGGGAATCCAATGAGGAATCCAAGCAGCTTCCTAGACTCTGTCCTAGGGACAGTCCCCACGGCCCTACCCCAACTGGGCACCACTGTCCTTCGGTATTTAAGTTAACCCTTATGACAGGGATATGGTTTTTGGTTCCAATTTGAGCAGACATCTCTTGGTGAGTATTTTGTGTGTGATGGTACATGAGCTTATTTCTTACTTGTCTGTCATTTGGCTTCTTTCTCCCTTCCTTTCATTTGCCTCCAAGTAGGGGTTTGGGTTTGTTGCCTTAGCCATTTGCTTGCTTAAGAAAGGCTGACTAGGAAGCCCTTTGGTTCAGTTGGTGAAGCCCCAACTTTTAGAGAGGAACTAACACCCACAGAGGTTCTCTGGGCTTCATTTGGTTTGTTTGTTGCTACAGTTTTGGGTATCTTTGGATAAAACCAGCCATGTTCTAAGTGGAAAATAGGAAATGACAATTCAATCCCCAAATGCAGCTCTTTTGACTGTATTCTCCAAAGTTGAGCAATGTTTAGTTATAAACCTATAAAAACAAAAAATATGACATTCTTTTGCAACACTTCTTGGCCCATATTTGTTAGACTCTGGAGAAAAATAGCCAATTAACACATCCGTAACTCATAATACCATGCTACAATGAGATTTGTTTTATAAAAGGGAAAAATAGGATGACATACCTTATGTTCCATCTTTTATGATTTCAGAATATCAGAATAAGCCAGCTCAGGAAAAATGTAAAGTTTTACTCCAATAGCACAGTGACACTCTGAAGTATGTGCTACCCAATCCTAACCAGGGAAAAGAGGATGTTTTGATTAGTTTATTGAATTAAATCCCCATATAGCTCCTCCACTCTATGGAGGTGACAGAGTGCCTGTCCCTGCCCAGCAGCCCTAGTCCTAAAAACTTGAGCCCCAACAAGGCCCTGCACCAGTACCTTCTGCCTTGGGGGACCAAGCGGTAGGAATGGTCTTTTCTTCTCATTCCCTACAGGGTGCTCAATTTGATCAGCGAGCCACTCATTCCTAAGGAGGGCAATATACGCTAAGGTAAGTCCCACTTGGAGCTTTGATGGCAGGGGACAACCTTCAGGAAAGATTTAGATCCACTCTCCATTCTCTGCCTTGTATCTGTTTAATTGAATAAGCAATATGACTATAGAAATGACTTCAAGAGGATGAAAAATTTGTTCTCATCTATTTTGCCACCCATGACCTCACTTGGGCAGATGTACAAAATTGATTAATCACTCTCCTTACTTCTGAGGAACACTATATGGTGCTAAAAAAGCTAGGGAAGAAGCAAATTGGCTGCTGCTGAAACCCCCAATCACCCCCTAAATGCTGATGCCATAATGGTTCTTCCTAACATGGATCTCAACAATGCAGACAAAGGGAAGCTCAAATACTATTGGGTTTGTATTGTAGTTGGATTTTTAAAAAGGGGCCCCAAAACGAAGAACAAAAAAGTTTAAAAAAAAGCTCAAGAAGTTAAGCAAAAACTTCAGAATTTGAAAAAAAAATTGAGATATCTGAGGCACCAGAAAATTTAAAAATGGGCAATGTTTATCAGGCAAGGTGACACAGACATTCAAAAGAAACTCCACAAGTTAGAGGATTCATTGGGAATGCCTGTATTACTGTTGGTTAAAATTGCTTTTAATGTTTTTGACAGCAGAAACCAAGTGCAACAAAGAAAAAATCACTGAAAAGTGAAACAGCAGCCTATTTTGTTAGCTGTTGCCCTAATTCAAGGGAATCCAAGACCAGGGTCATTACAAGGATGAGATCAACCCAAGGTAAGAAGTTTGGGGTCTCATCAGTGACCCTACTGTAAAGAAGAGACCCATTGAAAGACAGAATGCCCAAGCTCATGAGCTCTCTTGAGGAGACAGAGCCCTCAGCTGACCACCAGATGGTCGAAATGTCAATAGTGACCTGGAATGAAGGGGCTTAAGGGTTCCTGTATACCTTGCAAAATCTGCCATCAAAAGGAACCCCAGGCTATAGTGACAAATAAGCTCATAGATGTTTTGGCTGATACTAGGGACGCCTATTCAGTACTAAATACCTGGCCCTCCTGGTATTTCAAATCAAACTATGGATGTAATGGGAGTTTCAGGAGAAGTATTGACTAAAACCTTTTATAACCACCCTGGACTGACACATAGGTCACATTCACCTTAAACATAATTTTCTATATATGTTGAATGCCCTACCCCTTCACTAGGTTATGACTTATTAACTAAACTGAAATGCTGAAGTTACTTTTGTACCTGGGTATATGGATATAAAGGTACCATCAGAGCAAGCTTGAGCCTTTCAAGTAATGTTACTCCATCAAGGTGGAAAAGTCATATCAGAGCTGCCTGAAGACGTCATTGAAAATGTAAGATTGGATATTTGGGCAGATAGCAAGCCAGCAAGAACAAAACTGGCAATATCCATACATGTTAAATTTCATGATGGGCTTAAGATTCCAAACCTCAGACAGTGCCCCTTAAAGGTACAAGCTAAAATGAACATCAACCCATTCTCTCGCCCTTCTTGGAATTTGGTCTCACTTGTCCTTATCACTATACAATACACCTATTTTATCTGTACAAAAACAAAGCACCCAAGACTTGATTTGTGCAAGATTTAAAAACCATTAACCAGGGGCGCCTGGGTGGTGCAGTCGGTTAAGCGTCCGACTTCAGCCAGGTCACGATCTCGCAGTCCGTGAGTTCGAGGCCCACGTCAGGCTCTGGGCTGATGGCTCGGAGCCTGGAGCCTGTTTCCGATTCTGTGTCTCCCTCTCTCTCTGCCCCTCCCCCGTTCATGCTCTGTCTCTCTCTGTCCCAAAAATAAATAAAACGTTGAAAAAAAAAAACCCAAAAAACAAAAAACCATTAACCAAATTGTAGTAGATATTCATATGGTGGTACCCACTCCACATACTATTAACAACTTTGGGGACATTCAGTGGTTCATTGGAGAGGATTTAAAAGATGCATTCTTTTGCATCCCTCTCAGTCCAGACACCCAAAACTAAGAATAAGCAGCAACATTGTGGGGCAACCTTTCCTCAAGGCTTTAAGAACTCCCCTCCAACACTGGGGGGAAATATTAGCCAAAGAGTAAAAGGGCCACCAGTTTCAATGAGGAACCCTTTTTACTTGGTTTTTGGTTGCTATCAAGACTAGAAAATAGTCTCACCTCAAAACATGATTTTGACCCCAAACTTTTGGTTACTGACTACCTATTCAGTGTTTTTTTCCCTCCAATATCTATCTGTTAAATAGCCGGGCTATGAAATGTCACAGAGAAAAATGAATCTTAAGGAAAGCATTACCACTACTCAAATACAGTCACGTACATTCTACTGTATCTCGATTCCCAATTTTGAACTCCTTGGTAAACCCCTGTATGAAGTAATTAGAGGTAGAGGAAATGGGCCTCTTAATTCTGAAGAATGCCATAGGCATTCCAAGTTACTGAAGAGAAGCTATTTAAAGCTTCCACTTTAGGCCTTCCAGAAAGTATTTTATTTGTCCATGAGAGGCAAGAGATCAATCTGGGAGTTCTAACTCAGAATTGGGAGAACATAAAAGTAACTATTGTGTATTTTTCAAAACAATTGTACCTAATAACGAAGGGATGGCCTGTGTGTTTGAAAGCAATAGTGGCCCCTGTGAAGTATTATAAGCAGCAGAAAGATTTGCTTTAGGGTAGCCTGTCATACTGCAGACTCTACATTATGTACTGGCTCACTTCTGAAAGATAAGGCAAATATCAGGCTATCCTACTGAACAATCTCAATTTTAGTTTGAACGTAGTGCCTTTGTTCCCTACTAACTCTGAGAGACCCACACATGACTGCATACAAATAATTAAAAAAAGTTTCTTCCAGCCATTCCAATTTAATGGATCTACTTGTGGAAAAACCCTACCTTGCAATATTCTCAGATGGGAATTTTATTGAACAGGTACAATAAAAAATTAGCTATGCAGTAGTGACCCATCAACAGACACTGGAAGTTCAGAAGCCTTCCCTTCAGGTACCTCTGCTCAGAAAACTGAGATAGTATCTCTCATAAGAGCCCTCTAGGTTCAGGACAAGAGAGTGACTATTTTTATTGACTCTATATGTGCTTTTTCAGTGGTTTACACACATGGATCCATCCAGAAGAAAATGGGTTAACTATAGAAAATAGAAAAATTATGCAAAAGAGATTTTACAATTATTGAAGGCTGTTTGAGAACCCAAGGAGGTAGCTATTGTCTACTGCTGAGGAGACCAGAAATCAAACTGCTTGGTTGTACCAGGGAACAGTGATGTAGATCAAGCTTCCAAGCTTAAACATCTTACAAAAGTGATAATTAGTCATTCACGAAAGCACCCGTTATAGGTGAGATGCTACTCTCCAATGGATCCTAAAGTATACTGTGGGTCCCAATCTTCAGAAAATATTTAAGTGATAGTCCAAAATCTACTAAAAAACCTTTCTGCTAAAAAAACCAAAAATGTAAGTCTGGGCTCCCACCAATTCTAAAAGGTATACCCTCTACAGGCAGTGATTTTGTAACAACACTGGCAAACAGACTTTACCACAGTGCCAAAACAACAGGTAATTTTCAATATTTGCTAGTATTTGTAGATACTTTTGCAAGTTGAGGTGAAGCTTTCTCATGCATTTAGAGAAGGCCTCCAAAGTTGTCAAGAACAAAATTATTCCTAAATTGGATTACCACTAACAATGCAGAGTAACAATTGAGTGGCATTTGTGGTGAAAGTACAGTGCCTTGGATTTTCAATGGAAATTACACACTTCCTGGAGACCCCAACTGACTGGGAAAACAGAAAGTCCATACACTTAAAAAATATTTGGCACAATTAACTTGGAAAATGCCCTGCTTCTGGCTAGAGTAGCCCCTACAAGTAAGGTTGGTTTAAGATTTTATGGACTGTCATAGGTTAGACCCTTTCTACAGTCTTTTCATGACATAGGAATTCTTGATGTGGCTTAAATTAGGAAACTGGATACTATCAGGTGCATTTAATCTTTAGGAAATACGCTAACTACTATATATAAATTTGCTTCCTATAGGTTGATATACCCTACAGATGTGCTCTTGCACCACTAAATCCCAGAGACTTGGTGTTATTGAAGATTGGGAAGAACAGGCACCCAGAAGAGCAACTCTAACCTCCTTGAACAGGACATTTTGAGGTGTCATTGACTACCTATTCAGTAAAACTCAAGAGTATTAAGCCATGGATTCACCACACCCAAGGTAAGCTGGATCCACAAGAATTCACAGGTCGCCTATACACCGTCAGCAAGGAAAACATTGGAAAGAACTGTGCTTGCACCAGAAAACTTCTGATGTACCTGAAATAGCTATTTAGTATAGCTGGTTGGAAAGGAGCAATCTATGGTAAGTAAAAAATAACCTTCTCATCTACGAATAACTTATACATTATGAAAGGTATTCTTTTTTTGCATTGCATTTTCCTATTGTTTACAAGTTCTTGTGCTTGGGAAGATCTAGGATTTCTCAAACTTTGGCCAAGGCTGGCAATCCTCCTCACTGTTGGATATGTCACCCTAAGGCACAGTGTGTGACCACAGCAACCCAATAGTGATGCCTATCATCAACTTCTTTTTGGTCTCTAAGTTTTCAATACATCCAAATTGACAAACTACATTAGCATATAGGGTCAGATTAATTAAGTTGGCTTTCCTCACTGTTGCCATCTCTCATTTTAACTATGCCAAAATATTGGCTCCTCGCATTCAATAATTGGGATCCACCCCAAGAAGCTTGAAACAGTTAATAACTTCACCTCCTGTAAAAACAATTGAAACGTTTTTCCTTTCACCACCTTCCAGAGACTTTGTGGAAACACTCTTAACAAACGTTGCTCATCTGATTCTGCTCCTCTTGGTACAATACTGACAAATAAAAAACCTGGCCCCATGGGACCCCCACATCTTCTCCTCTCAGTTACGCAAAACTTAATCATACCTATTGGTTCCAAATGGTACCTTTAGTGATTTCACAGAACAAAAGTATTGAGCCTCCTGAATTAACAGAAACACTATGTGCACCTCAGGTTACTTTTATGACTAGGAATATAAACACTTCCCTTGGGAATATGAACTTTTAAATGGCTGGAGCATGGGAAGCACTTGTCTTTTAGGACTTTTGGTCACCCCTTTTAGATATTATAATTCTGTAAAGTCAGTCATTTGACTGTTTTTCTGAAACTGTTTTATAGGTTAAAGTGAGAATACTACAAAACATTCTCATTATTTTTCCAGCAATCAGGAGGAAAAAATTTGGTACATATTTGGGAGACCATTACTTCCATGGTGGAGAATTATATCATGTGAACATATAAGTAGAAACCTTTCAAACTTTTGGAATCATAGTGAATAACGTTGCCCAAATCATACATGGAAGCCCAACAAAAGGCCTTCGACTCTTTGGCTAGAGTAATTTTAAATAACAGAGTAACTTTTTATTTTACCAAAACAAGGAAGTTTTTGTGTAGTGGCTAATTCATCACAACGTACACGTACTAATATTCCCTCGGAATTTAAAATTCCTCTTGACAAAGTAAGACAAGTTACTTGGTTACAAAAATCTCCCCTAAAGTCCAAGAATAGACTTGGACTGGTTTTTAGGGATATTTTCCTGGATTCCCCCAAGAAATTAGGAATATTCACATGAAATAATCTTAGTAAAACTGACTTAACTCTCCTTCTTTGCAACTTAATCATAAAATGTGCTATAAAATATTGTACTGAAACTGTTAACCAAAGAATCAGTAATGCAAAATATTGGGTTTTAACCTAAAAATAAGGAATATTTCCTAATGAGTGCAAAAAGTCTCATTTATCTAAGTCTGATCTTTACCTTCTTTTAGCAGGAAGGAGCTAGAGCCACCATGATCCCAATTTCCTCAAGAACGAGGAATAACAAAAAGACAGTGGGGACTCAAATCAGTAACCAAAGAGTTAGTGGAACTAAGAAGTGCAACTACAACTTTTTACCAAAATCAGCTTGTTCTCAAAATGCTGTCTGCCACTGAAAGGGTGGGCCTACGCCGGCCAACTCCATCTTGTTCTGTGTCCTTCACCTTGACCACACCTCCTCCCCTTGAGCAACCTCCCCCTCACCTGCCTAACAGGACTCGGACCCTTCCCCAGCCAATTGGCTGAGGCCATAGCCATTACCTCACCAACTGCCCCTAGATCCCTATAAAACCTTTGTGTTTTTGAAACTCGCTCTCTCTCCCTGGTATCTCACTGCTGCGTCAGCGCAGGTAGGGGATTGAGCTCGAGCTAGCTCGAATAAAGGCTCTTTTGCTTTTACATCGGACTCGGCTCCTTGGCGGCATTTGGGGATCATGAATTCTGGGCATAACACCACCATGTTTCTGTAAGATAACAACATTCTTGCCTGACACCATGATAACAAAATAATGATTTAGTTGTTTTGCAGAGACTCAGGCCTTGACGAAGAAACTGGCCAGAACCAGTCAGGACTACCAATTTTTTCTTTGAGCATGTGTAAGTATCTCATGGATGGACTTCTGATGTATAGGAGCCTAAAAATCCACCCTTGGATCATGCCATGGATGCCATTTTCTGGTCATGGATCACATTGCAACGTATGCAGAAGATCTGTGCAAACAGCGACAAAAAAAATGACTTTGAACCTCTCTCAGTAACTTCCTTTATCTGATTTTATTGTTTATTTAGAGAGAAAATCTTAAACAGGATCCACACTCAGCACGAGCCTGATACGGGGCTTGATCCCATGACCTTGGGATCACAACCTAAGCCAAAATCAAGAGTCACATGCTTAACTAAAAACAAATAAACGGAGGGGCACCTGAGTGGTTCAAAGTCTTGTAGCTCTTCTCTCCTGTACCCAGATTCTTTTGCCTTTAAATATCCCTCATTCTACCCCTATAGGGAAGCAGGTTTGGGGCTTGCTCTTCCATCTCCTCATTTGGCTGTCTCTCAAACCCTTTCCTTGCTGCACATTGGGCAACTAAAGTGGAGTTCAACTAAATATACAGTAGGCCCATGTGGAGAATAAGTTTAAGAATTCCCTGGGCTTACACCGATGAGTTAACAAGGAATAAAGAATTAGAAAGCCATAGGATGCTTACATCCAAGCTTGGGCAAACCAGATTAGGTAAATAAGTACAGATAGGTTGGGACAAAGGTATACGAAGTAAACAAAATTAGGTATTCGGGGTAGAAATGCGCCCCGCCCCCCCCCCCCAATTTAGTACAATAGCAGAAAGCTGCTTTCACAGGAAGAAAGGACCAAATTAGGTAAACAGGTAAATAGGGCTTATAGACCCCTTAGAGGTGAAGTCCAGAGCAGAGCTAATTAGCAAAAGAACCATACCTTGTTGACGCTGAGGTAGCATGCTCTTTCTTGTCCCCTAGGCCAGTTTAGGGAAACAGAGGTGGTGCCTCATATCTGCCATAAACAACCCTCTGCCAGGCACCAGGATTTTGTTTTGTATAAACCCAAACCCCTAAGACCACGTATCTTCAAAACCCCCTTTTCCTCATGCCCATGAGGTAATCTTCAGTTTCACTGTCTCTTTGTGCACGTCCATCACCATGTTTGTAAGCCTTCTGATCCTAATAAAAACAGAGCAAGGATCCTGGGGCTCATGTCTTCTTCCCAACATTAGCTATCTCTTGCATTTTAATCCTGCATCCCGCTTTCTTGCTGGACAAGAAAGAACTCTAGACCCAGTGTCTATGACAGCCCCAAATGTAAAGTGAAGAGGCTAAGACTTATTTTACAATTATGTAAAGAAAGTGAAGTGGCTTTCCCTCCACCCTGTGGAGGGTGGATGCCTTGAAATCCCACCAGTTCCTCTACTTGAGACACTTTCTCCAAAGTTACAGAATACAAATGCAGATTATGAAAGGTAATTTATCACTCCAAAAACACCCAATACTTCTTTGAGTAATCAAGTAGAGTGGGAACCAGCAAAGGTGAATTCTAAATGACAGAATACTGGGAAGAAAAATGGAAACACCGATGTTCAGAGATTAGAGGAGAGCAGGCATAAATGCTATATTTTTGTTACAGCATAAGCAAATCAGGTCACAGAGGATGAGGCCAGGGCTCTATGGAGAAAGGTGCCAAGAAAGAACATAAAGAGATGAAACCAACATTGAATACAAACATAATGTACAATTTTGTAAGCAGCAAAACCATGTTATAGAAGAGCATCTCATAATCTGGGATTTTAATAAAGATGCATTAAGTGTAAAAAGTTGATATAAATGGAAAGTTTGTATGAAAGTATGAAGCAAGCTGTCAGGAGACCTTTGACAATTTGAATAAAAATTAATTGGATAAATATGTGTCTCTCCTTCATTTGAAATAGATATGTATAGAGATTTAAGCATTTATTTTTTTTTCTGAGCTTTTTTGGTTTTAATCTCAGTATTGAGAGAGTCACAAGAATGGAAGGTCCTCACTTGCAGAGATTAATGATTTACTACTGCTACAAGCGCAGTAAGAGTACCCATTCTCAAGAGCACTGCCTGATCCTGAATGATCATCTAGATCCCACGAGACTTTTTGGGCTCATAGAAGCTTTTTAGCTTTGTTTTTCCTGACATTAAAGAATTTTTAAGTATTCCTGTATGGCCAGATGATGGTGCTAAGGTTTCTTAACTTGCCATAAACCCTCAAGTTGCTCTCTCCCCTCATTCCAAATTCCTGAGTGAATCTCTGGTTCATATACCAATGTCTTAACATTGATTTTGAATCAGTTACTCAGACTCTATAGATATATGGAATACAGATATAGAATATATAGACATATGATATGTAGATAAGTCTTACAGATGGAGAGACAGATCTCAGATAATTAAATAGCAAGTGTTGATAAGGACATGATACATTGAGAATTAGTAGGGAGAAATGTAAATCGGTCCAAAGACTTTGGAAACTAATTAGACATTACTTCCACTTTTGGGTATGTACATTCTGAATAAACTTGCATCGGTGCACCACCCCCCCCCCCCAAATACATGGAAACAAATGTTTGTAGCACACCATCTAAAAGAAAATTCTAGAAACCAAATTTCCAGTAAAAGGAGAATGTATACTAAACTGAAGTGTATTTTGAAAAAGTTTTGGGAATAAATCAAGTATAGCTACATGCATCAACATGAATAAATTGTGTCAACAATATTGCTTGAAAAAATTAAGTCACAATAGAATACAGACTCTAACAGCATTTATATAAAGTTCAAAAACACTAATATATTTCATATGGAAATACTTAGATACGTTTCTTAAGAGAATGATAAACACATGCTCAAAATAGTGGTTGTCCCTGTGGAGAATTGAGGAATATGATCAGGGAGGGACAAAATGTATCAATAGTATTCTGTTTTTAAGCTGTGGTGAGTACACATGTGGCCTTTTGATTATCTTTTATAATGTATAAATATGTTCCTATCTATAAATATGTCCCTATACTATAAATAAATAAATATATGTATGTATATATATATGTATATATATATATATATATACATATATATATATACACACACACACATATATATGTATACATACACATATATATATATAGTGTATTTCAAAAACAGATTTAGGAAATTAAAGTTAAAAATTTTTAAATTGTATCAGAAATCTCTGCTTTGACAGAAAACATGAATAGACACTTCTCTAAAGAAGACATCCAGATGGCCAACAGGCACATGAAAAGATGTTCAACGTCACTCCTCATCAGGGAAATACAAATCAAAACCACACTCAGATATCACCTCACACAGTCAGAGTGGCCAAAATGAACAAATCAGGAGACTATAGATGCTGGAGAGGATGTGGATAAATGGGAACCCTCTTGTACTGTTGGTGGGAATGCAAACTGGTGCAGCCACTCTGGAAAACAGTATGGAGGTTCCTCAAAAAATTAAAAATAGACATACCCTATGACCCAGTAGTAGCACTGCTAGGAATTTACCCAAGGGATACAGGAGTACTGATGCATAGGGGCACTTGTACCCCAATGTTTATAGCAGCACTCTCAACAATAGCCAAATTATGGAAAGAGCCTAAATGTCCATCACCTGATGAATGGATAAAGAAATTGTGGTTTATATACACAATGGAGTACTACGTGGCAATGAGAAAGAATGAAATATGGCCCTTGGTAGCAACGTGGATGGAACTGGAAAGTGTTATGCTAAGTGAAATAAGCCATACAGAGAAAGATACCATATGTTTTCACTCTTATGTGGATCCTGAGAAACTTAACAGAAACCGATGGGGGAGGGGAAGAAAAAAAAAGAGGTTAGAGTGGTAGAGAGCCAAAGCATAAGAGACTCTTAGAACAAACTGGGGCGCCTGGTGGCTCAGTCGGTTAAGCGTCCGACTTCGGCTCAGGTCACAATCTCGCCGTATGTGAGTGAGTTCGAGCCCCGCATCGGGCTCTGTGCTGACTGCTCAGAGCCTGGAGCCTGTTTCAGATTCTGTGTCTCCCTCTCTCTCTGACCCTCCCCTGTTCATGCTCTCTCTCTGTCTCAAAAATAAATAAATGTTAAAAAAAAAATTAAAAAAAAAAACAGAACAAACTGAGGGGATGAAGGGTGGGTGATGGATATTGAGGAGGGCACCTTTTGGGATGAGCACTTGGTGTTGTATGGAAACCAATTTGACAATAAATTTCATATATTGAAAAAAAATAGAAATCTCTGCCTTGAACTGAAAAAAAATATATATAATGTGAATAATACACATATTTGACTAAAATGGTGCTATTGACAAAGAATACTGAATATGACATATCTAATGTGATAAAATACATAAAGTCATTTTCATCCATGGTAAACACTTAATATATGATAAACATTATCCTCCCCCTTTCCATCATCACAAAAAAAGCATTTAGCATTGGATAATAATAATGATTCAAGAGAACACAATGATTAAGAGTGGGAGTATATGTGTGTATGTGTATATGGGTATGCGCATGTTACCTAGAGGTCATGGGTTTGAATATAAGCTCTGGGTGTTATGTGAGTTGCCCAATTTGTCCTCTGTGCTGTTTATTTTTAAAATTGAGATAATAGGTATTATATTGTGATGAGTAATTAAGATAAAACTAGGTGAA